TAAAAATGCACCACTCATTACTTACAGGGAGCAGTTCAAGGTCATGCTGTAATGCAGTCACATCAATTGCCTTATCATATCTTGCAGGTGAAAATGGAGAACCAAATAATATGTTTTCGCGCACCTATAAAACATACTAAACATTTCAATGGCTGAATAATGAGAATCTGCCAAGTATCAATAGCCACTTGATAAGCATCACATTTTTATAATTAATTAAATCATGTTACTGAAGTTCATCTGTAAAAATTTTGGGAGGACTAATTTCTAGTAAGTTCATTAATGTTACTGAATTTAATTAATCCAATTAAGAGACTTATTTCTAGTTTCTAGCTAAAAAGCAAGGTAACATACTGTTGCATTAAAAATCCATGAGATTTGTGGTACATAAGCGACGGTTCCTCTGATGACAACACTTGAACCTGTAACAGCAGGAATCTCCCCAAGCATTGCTGAGATAAGTGATGTCTTTCCTTCTCCAGTACCACCAACAATTGCTACTAAGCTACCAATTGGAATATCCAAATTGATATTTGACAAAGTTGGTTTCTCTGCCTATCATTTGCAGAAACATTATTTAGCATTTCCATCGCATATGTAACTTGAAGAGAGTTCTATGAACACATAAACTTCAACAACCATCAAGATTAATAAAAAAAATAAAAAATAAAAATTAGGATACAATACCTTGGGGCTATATCTTTAATCTATTGCGTGTTTAGGAATGCAAAATTTATACAAGCAAGGCACAGCATCTCATGATGTAATTTTCAGGTGCAACAAGGAAAAAAAAAAAACTTAAAATACTAGACAGAAAGGAAAAGAGCACTTTATCTTCACTATTGAACCTGATGTTCTCTTTTCGTTTTGTTTTCTTTAAATGCAATATGTATGTACTTTATGCCCTTCTATGACATTAATTGCTTCCTAATATAAGAATATTAAGTTGCTGGCAAAAACTGGTGCAACTAACATGCTTTAGGCAGAAAAGATTTGCAAAATTGATTTCTCAGTAATGAAACCTAGTAGAAAGCAATAATGACCGAGAATTAGAATTATTCCACATAAAGGTATGGGTTTTTACAGACCATTAACACCTTGGTCCAGAAAGAGGGAAAATAATAAATAATAAATATCTATATATGTGCATACATCAATACTCTTCTGTTCTGACAAAAAGCAATAAACCAAACCTTCGATTCCCACGAAAAGATCCCATTCCTAATTGAAATGGCTGGAAGTCTGGGCTCAAGAGGTGGGTTGGGCCGAAGTACTCTCTCTTCAGCTGACAAAAGTTCCTCAAGGCGTTTCAAAGAAACGTTTGCGTTAACTACCTGTACAATCAGAAAACAGTTACTTATTCACAAAAGAAGTTGAACAAAGGAGTATTATGGCTCGATCAACTATTGAATCCCTTCCACAACAAATGATTGTATGATTTGCATAAAGCACAACAGAGCCCACCCAAACAGAATAGAAAAGGGGAAGACAAAGATGAGATTATATTTGACATGGATGTTGGAGATATAACAGTAAAAACGGGAGAAAGCATACATGACAGGTTTAAGGTGTTATAGCATGGGCTACATGTTTCATAATGACTGAAGAGACTTATATTTGATTCTTCACCAGAAATTATCAAGGGTGCTAAGTTTGTTACAGTATATAAAATAGAATAGTGTATCAGTCTCAAACATCTCATACAGCCATTAAAACTTGGCTTAATTTAAATTTTAAAAAATTGTCAGCGGAACTGTGAACTTATTTTGGGTCAACTAGTATAGAAAGTAAATTCCAAAACATAGGAACATAATTGAATAAAACAAAAGAGAAAAGGGAAAAGACCATTCAGCTCATATTGGTTGAATAAGAAAGAAAACAGACAACTGAGGATGCAATTAGGGCTTTTTTGGTTTAAAATGTGATAGTAAAGGGATCAAAAAGTCCCTTCACTGTTGTTATCCTAGAGATTAGGGTAAATAGTGACACCCTCTACTCTTTAGAATAGTCCAAACTTTTGGTATTAATGTGGGCAGCACTGTCTCTATCTTGTTTCTCAAATCACAAATCCAATCTCCATTGTTCACAAACCAAACAAACCCTTAGAAGTAAAAGAGGTGCTTAAAGTTCACAAAAGAAGTTCTAAACATTAAATTGGATTAATGGCATTTAGCAAAAGAGAACCTGTGTTATAATATTAGGAAGCATGAAGAGTGGAAAGCGTAGCACTGCAAACAATGAGAGAGATGTAAATGCCCTTGCAGGTGTTAGATCCCCACCAAGTAAAGTGAACACGCCAAAAGAGACCACAATAACCAAAACTGGAATACTGTTCAATATGAAGCTGTTCAACTGCAGAAAGAAATAGAGGATGTTAAGTCAAGCCAAGACATCAGGGTGAAAGCAATAGTAAGGTTAAGAGCATGTTATTTCTACTAGATTTTCCTTTATTTACATTGAGAAGACTAACATGTGCATGTGTGCAAGTTGAAGGAATGAGGAAGATGACACAAAGTTCTGCATGCTCTTCAATGCATGTAATGCTAGAAAAGGAGTGGTATAATGGAAGCAAGATTGTTGTAGTTAGAAGGCCATGAAAGAGAATATTTCCATTTAGCCCTAAACAGTACAGGAAGTTTACACACAAAGAGAGAATGGTTTGTAACGTACTGCTCCTAGCATTTGTGCCTTACGAAACCAACCTAACTCCTCATTTCGAACTCCCTGAACCTTTGATTGGAAACTGTCCTCCCACGCATAGCATCTGAAGCATAAAGCATAATGGAGCATAAGTGCCAAAAGTTCATTTTTAGCAAACTATTTCAATAGGGAAATTCAAGGACAAGCTTTCTATGAGTTACATACTTGACAGTGTCCATTGCAGCCAATATTTCATTCATCAGTCCAATTCTCTTATCAGTGCGTTGCAATCCTTCTTTTGTCAATTTCTGCATCTTGCTTATTACAAAAGTCTGCTTGAACAGAGTTTCTGAATTAGAAAATACACATAGATATAACTAACAAAAAAATACCATGAACCAGATAAAAGCACTATATCATTAATATATAGAAAACAGAATAAGCAAGACAGATAACAGAAAATATAAGTAATCAGATATTAACACACTGAAGGATTAATAGTGCTAATGCCACAACTTCTGACAAATGAAACAAATTAAGATATGGCTTCTCATCAAATGGCACCTTTGTGGCTCCCCTTGAGGGAAGGTCACAGGATCGAACCCCAGTGGTAGGGTATTGACTCTTTGGGCTGCATTAGTTAGAGAAAGTATAGAACGGATACTACCTTGTAATAGAGTCAATAGTATTAAAAAAAAAAATGAACAGAAAATGGACATTATGTGAGTGAAATATGCACCATTGAACCTTGAGACCTTGTCCAGGTCTTTCCTAGTTAGTAGTGCATCCCACCAAAAGAAAGAAACACGGAAGAGGTTTTCCATGTATGCAGTGGGTTTCTTAAGACAGAGCTTATCTCCACGAGAAAATGAAGAATATTTCCATTATTACATCAAGGCAACTAACATGGAAATTTGTTTTTCAGTTGATGTAATACTTTACTGAGGAATTCATATTCTTAGTTTGAGCTAACCAAGAGGCATAGGTATATACACATTGAAAGCAAGATTGCTTTCACCAATCTTAAGAAGAATACTGATGGAGAAGTATACTTGTAAACAAGCATATTACTTAAAGAATAAAGTACTGAATCAGAAATTGTTCTAGCAATCAAGTATGTAGTATGTGTATAATAGAAGTTCAAAAAAAAGGGGAAAGAATCCAACCTGAATGGGGAACATTAAAACAAGCATGAGTGCACCAAGCAGGGATGCAACTCCCAACTGCTCGTATAGAAGAACCATTGCAATAACAATCCGAAAAGGAGCAGACCATAAAGTGTGAAGTGATTGGCATATTTGCTGCAGAAAATGAACAGGTAGGCAATCAGTCAACCAGCAACATATTGATTTAGGAATAAAGTTTTCTCCTGGAAAACATTAACTAATATAAAACACAATAAACTTCGGACAACTACAGTGCTCGTCCCAAACTCTATTATTTTTTTTTATGACCCAAGTTTCCTGGCTTCACCGGACTACACCCCGGACCCCATGAACCCACCCCCAGACCCATGAAGAGGTAAATCAAGCCAATCTAGTTTCAAGCCTCAACACCAAACTGTACACCTCTGTGAACAAGGAGCCCAAGTGCCCAACCCAAACGCCATTGTTTGTGGTAGGAATCGAACCCCCACCCTTTCGCTGGAAGCAAGTCTTTAAGTGATGCTTCTCAACCACTAGACCAATGCCCTGGAGGCAACTGTCTCTTTACAATGACATCATTTGTGCAATGCAATAACTCCCATGTTTAGAGAAACTACAGCAATGATAAAGAAATATACTATAAAATATGCAATGCCAAATTTGACATCCTATATGTAGGTACTGAGCAAAATGCAGAAATAAAACTTTAGTCACCAACTATTGTGCTAAATACAAATATCATTTTTCCACTCCTATGATGTGGGAATATAAACCTATAAACATGAGAATATGCAAGTATAAAATTGAGAATTCTGATATCATTATAGGATGCAGGCTTTGGAAAATGTGATCGCTCTGTGGCAAAGAATTTCACAAAGGTGCTGGGGCAAAATACTTGGCAGAAAAGGCAAAGAATATAATTAAAATAATTTAAACAATAAAAATAAAAAACGCAATTAGCTTCAAAGTAGATAGAAAGTACTATCATCTTTTCTGGGGATTATGTGACAAATATAGATATTGAGCATTTTGGACATTTGGAGATGTAACTATAGGCAATTAATGCATCAATACACATGAAATCTGTAGTATTATCTGGATTAAAATCTATTATTCAATGGTTAACCATTTGCAATGAGATTTGAAATAGCCCAAGATACTACATTTGGCATTCAGAACTACAAGGATACAGTCAGGAAATCATTTACCACCTAGCAAGACCTTGTAACACAAAATACAAGTTACAGTATAACAGCATTTCTAAATGCAAAGCACTTACCTGAAGAGATTCAGCATCAGTTGTCATTAAGTTGGTTATTTTTCCTGTTGCAAATCCTTTCCGACTCTCATGGGTTAGCCTCAAGGACTTCCGAAAAACTGCAGCAACCTACAAAACATGATGGATTCAGAAACTTAAATGCAGTGATGCTACAAATCTTAATGGAACTTCAAAATTGATTTAGATTTTCTTTTTTAATGAAAAGCAGGAAAACACTAAATTGCACACATGATTCAGGCAACCTCTAAACCAAAAAATCAAACCTTTCAAAATTAAAACTAAGTAACTTTTCTGAATGGTTTCAAACTAAAACAGATATATATAATTATAATAAGAGAACGAAGAAGTGACTGTATGTGACAGCAAATTTAAGCATATTATTTGGGTTACATGGTAAGCCCCATAACAGAGCACCAGCTCATTGCAAAAAACAAGCACCACAATGAGAAAATGTGCAGAGTACAAGGAAAAGACAAAGCATGAAGACCGCCACATGGACAAATTACCAGAGTTGATCTCAGGCGAAATCCAACACGCATGACATTTTGAAAGTACTGAGCTTCACACAGCACACCAAATACCTAAATGATATTCAGACCAAAATAGTCATTACACAACACCCCATTAATTATTATAGAAAGAGATAGAGAGAGCAAGGGGTGAAGGGAGGAAACAAGGGAAGCAATAAACTAACATGTTGAGTGTAATATAATGAAACTATAGGAATAGTATGAACAAGTAAAAGTAAACTAGATAAATGAAAGAAATATATTTTGGAAATGATGAAATATTTGTTTGCCGCTTCAACTAAAAGCTTAAGCTATTAGAGAGGGGAGACATTTAATAGTTTATTTGTTATTCAACAGGCCCTCATGAGCTGGCCACATTCTTTTAGGTGGGCGAAGCGTGTGAAAATATTTGATAACAGGAAGTGAATGAAATTCAAACTCAAGACCTCTGCCTACTCCAATAAACTTATCTACTCCACCACAACTAAAAGCATAACATATTAAAAAGGGGAGATTTTTAATATTTTACATAACATGCTTTGGATGGCACCAAGTTCATACCACTCCAAGAAAAATTGCAAATGCATAGACATAGCCAATCCATGCCGGATCTCCTTCTTGCATTGACTGTAATATGTGGAAAGAAACAACTATGAGATGATATAGTTAAAGCAAAAGTCTATAGAACAGAAAGGGAGATTTAGGAAAAGGAGTTAATAGACATGCTTTAATCACAAAAGCGTACTGCACAAAATCCTGATGGTTTCAAAAGTTAAAACAATAGAACCAGTGTGAAAAACTGAGCAAAGTTAATCACACAACATTAATCCATCAATTTTAAAAACGGCATTTTTTAAAGATGAAAAGAACCTTGTGGACAGGGAAGGTTTTGTGAGTTCTGGAAACAAAGCAACAAAGTACAAGTTACAAATAATCATAAAGCTTCATCACACAAAACTAGTGGCCCCTCTGGGAAAATTTGCAACAACTCCCGAAAGAGCACCAATAACACCTCATCCATAACAAGGTAATAATATTGAACATAGGCAAAACCCTTAATGCTGAAAAGTTGAGAGGACAAAGGAGGAAACAAAGAGCAGTGTGAAATAGTTGACGGCATTTATTTTAATTACTAGTATTTTTTATGCGCGATGAGCAAAAAATAGGTGCCCAATATTAATACATTATATTAAAATTTTAAATTTATTTAGATTTTAGATATTTAAATTATTCTAAATAATAATAATAATAATAATAATGTAAATCATTTTTATAAATTTGATATTTATATTTTATGTAATAATTAACATATAACTCAAATATATAATGTTTATATATTATTATTAATGAAGAAGATAAGAAAATATATGGTGGATGCATGTGCTTGGTAACAATAGTGGACAAGATAACGGAAGTTATAACGGTAGGGGTATGTTTGTCCAAAATATTTTAATGTACAACCTTTATAGCAAATGTACAAAAAAACTTAACGGAAAAAACGGACATAAATAAGGGGTATAACTTTCATTCACACTTATTATGTTTTTAGACTTGTATGAATTGAAAACAATACAATCATTAAAGGCGTATTTCTACAAAGATCAGAATCTGCAGACAGCAAAACTTCCAGAACAAGCACCCAGTTGACTGACCATCAAATAGAACAAATTCAATAGAAAAAATAGCAACCAGATAGATGCAACAAACCTTTAAGAGTTGATTCAATATGAGTGGCCCAATAAACTGGGAGACGTCATTTCCAATCTAATAATAAAATAAAATAAAAATAATTAAAAAAAAAAAAAGAGATAAAATGATTATTAAACTAATATTAAGCAATCAGATACCTCAGTCAGTGGAAGGCTATCAAACACATCAAATATTATGTGATTTCCAATAGGCAAAGGAGATTATAACTGAAGTAAATTCTTAATATAAATGTTTCATGTCAAAAATTAATTTGAACATGTTTAGAAATGATAACGTTCACTTCAAAAAGCAAGGTTTGCCCTTATAGATGTGAGACAAAAGATAAAGTTAAATTCAATATCTTAGGAAAGTATTTGTACTCATCCACCTGAGGTTTGAAAATCAAGGAGCATCAGAGAGGACATTAAGTACCAGAAAAGAAGCTCAATACAAGAAGTTCACTTTGTAAACATTTTATTATTAGCCATCGATGATTTGTTTTGGCTCCCAGTATTCTACAAATCTCCACAGTTGAAGCAAGTATTTAAGCATAGAACGATTCATGCTAAAGTTTAATCTTAAAAATGATCATTACCTTCCAGAAGCCTCCCCACCAAAATCTGCAAAAGTTCAACAAGAATAAGGAAATTTAGCAACATATTGAAAGAATTTTTTTTATTTAATCTCAATACATATAGCATCATAGCAGAGCACATGAATCCTGAAATTTCCAAAAGACCAAAACATATTTAAAAGCAAAATATATTCTCAATTTTTTACCTTCCTCCAAGGCTTCTATTTAATGCTCTCAAAAGCCATGGCTGAAGCCTTTGAGACTCCTCTGTCCAACACTTTTGAAACCTATGAAAAAGTTGAACCATAATGTGTATTTTGACATAAAATACTAGTTCTTTTAAGATAAATGTTATTCTATGAAATGAATTATAATGGAAACAATTTAAAGAGAAAATGGGGACAAATAGGGTCGCAACCCCTTACGCATCGTTAAGTGTTTCTGTCCTATCCCAAACATCCAGTTTCCATACATCCTTTTCTGTAAGAGGCCTCTTATAACCTTGCTGCATAAGAGGGTTCATCCATGAAAAAATAACTCCTGTTGAATGGAAAAAGTGACAAACATTAGTTAAATGAGTGTAACAAAATGCTAAGTCTCTTAGCCATATACTAATCATAGAACCAGTAAATGTTTGATGATACCAACCTTCCAGCCTCAGGATTAAAAGCAGAATGTTGTCAAGAAATTCATGTAAAACCATGCTGTACTTACTACTTAGATATGTATAAATACGTACTGGACAATATGTTGGCATGCCTCTCAGGACAAATCTCCTCTGCCTCAGGGAGTTTTTCATAAGCTGTGTTGTCAATAGATTCAGTCCGAACCGGAGAGTAGCCTGGAAAAGGATCCAACTCGGGAACATAAAAGAGAAGGAGCACGCCAAATAATGCCTATCAGCCAAAAAGGATTAAATCATAATTCTTTCTTTTAATGGTTAAATTGAAGTTTTAATCTTTTATATATTTAGCAAAGGAAAACCAGAATCTAACATGCCTAAATCACATGAACTTCAATAGTCAGTTTCGTATCTTACTTAATCATGGTGAGCAATATCAATTTGAAATATGAACAAGAGACCATTTTCAGTTTTTGGTCTAATCATTAGCAATTTAAACCAGTTTTAAGAAACTTCAATGGAAAAACATACAAGATGAAAATAAAAATAGAAACAAAAATGAAGAGAGTAGGAGCAGAAAACCTGGACTGCAACTTCACTTATGTACAAATACAGTATAGACCTGCTCAGACAAATAAAGGAACAGTTAATTGTGTTGAGCATGCATTAGCTTGCATGAATTACATTCAAAACCAACTACTGATATAAACTTATTTTATAAGCATCCCATGAAGTCCTGATGAATATATACTTTAAACATGGGTAGTACCAATTATTATCTTCATCAAATTGTTCTTAGGTACATTTTACTTCAATTTTCTTTCCAGACAGACATTAGTTAGGGGAGAGGAGTTAACTGGTACTTAGAACGGTAAGACCCAGAAAAAACTTTTCTGGGACCTCATACAGATCTTTCCCTGTCCCAAAAACATTGGATATAAATATAAAAGCAACAAAAGCACATATATAAAGCAACCACAAATAAAATCAGTACACTCACCCTTTTACAAATTCTTTTTTTCTCTCTAAATTTTTTTGCAGGATCAACAGCAGAATTTGGTCTATTTATTATGATTAAAGACTATTTCCAATTACAATTTACTTATCATAACAACAAAACAAACTTAGAGGGATATTTTCCAGATTAGAGTTTTTTACTTTTGTTTAGTGAGAACGAACATGCATTTACTCAATGAAAAAGGTATGTACAAGACACTTATATACATATACACACATATACATATATGTATATATACATATGTTTACATGTATATATGTAACTATATTCACTAAAACAGAACTCTTTAAGCAAATTATGTATCCACACTAGTTTAAATGTTCAAACCATGTCTTGATATTTAGACTTGGCAAACAACCTTGCCACCATGCTCTAATTCTTACTTCCCCATGAAACTAGGTTGCCTCCCATGTATACACAATACCTTACACTTGGCCTTCTAGTCACTGGGTGATCCAACTAAATCAGCAGCAAAAAAGGCTTCAACACGCATATGTCCCTAATTTGCATGTAAGATACCATTACCTAATGACAC